GCGAATGGGACCAGCTGAACTTGTAGAGAAGAGCTTTGAAGTAGTATGAAGCAAGGCATCCAAGCCCCAGTGCATTCAAAACACTCAGTGATGGGACAGCAGGTGCAATGGGGTGGAGTGTGTTTGGTTGTGCTAGTTTTTCTAGTTAGGCTTCACGTGTCTTCTGTTGCATGTAATACCAGAGGCATTTTCAGTGAGTACAGTTCTCCTTTGGGTTACCTAATGCTTTGGACAAGGTCAGCAAGAGCACTGGGTTTGTTTGCATAGATTTCTTAAGGGTAAATTCCAGTGGAACATCATGTGGCGCAGCCTTAGATAAGAGAGCCTTTAGGCCTCCTGGCCTATGAGAATTCATAGTCCTGTAGAGATTTTGTGAAGGCTTTTGTAGCACAGTGGAAAAGGCTTTAAGGGTTTTCATGCACCTTGTAATGGCACTGTTACGTGACCTATTCCAGGAATGATCCAGTGCACTGACCTGACCGCAGGTCCAAACATTTTACATGAAGCAAAAAATATACATTGTTGTTTCTCACCACAGTCCATCCCCTGCATGTACTCTCACTGTGGGAATAGGGCAAGCATGAATGCTCTTAAGTATATAATCTACACTCTCTGGATAAACCCTCAGGGAACCCTCAGCAAGGAAGTTGCTTTTCTGTTCTCATGCTGCAAGCATGAAGGTTGAAAACTGCTTTTTCCCTTTTTAAAGGCAAGAGTTGGCAGGGATTGGAGTGGAGGTGCAGAGCCAATTCTTACTGGAAATGCTGGTCATGCATGTCAGCCAGTCAGTATTGTAAGCTGCTGTAAAAGTGCTGACAGGGCACAGACACTCTGAAGCCAACCACAGTGGTACTCGGTGTCTGCTTTCCCAAGGCCCCTGAGCTCAGGACCCTTCTAGCTGTGGTGATGCAGGTGAGGTTGGGAGGAGATTAAAAATAAAGCATGAGTTTGTGGCCACTAAGTTAGGGTGTGAGGGGAAAAAAGGCCTACAGAGGACACGGATGAAGCTGGGCATGAAGTGGCCCAAGGGGGACAGGTTCTAGGATTAGGATGTCTCTAGCTAGGGAGATGGAAGATAATGGGTCTTTCTGGAGAGATGTAGGCATTGACTGTCTGCATATTGAGAAGCCTGCTTAACAGGTGGTTCCTACATGAGGCATCCAGGAGAAAGATAACATGATGGTGATTAAGCTACCTTAGGTCTTCCCTAGTAACATGTCCAATTTGAGGATATTGGCAAGACAGATGTCCTGTTCCTACTACAGGCTGGTGACCACAGCCAACAGGTTCTTGGTAAAGATGGGGGAGCTGCCCAAAGGACAGGGGGACAGATGGTAAAGAAGGTGTCTAAGGGCAGAATGCTGGCCACTTTCATGGGGACAGGGAGTTCAGCATCTCTGGAGGTCCATACAGAATTTGAAGTTTTGTTGGAGATGAAGATCTGGAAAGGTACAAAAGCAGCTCTGTGCCTGCAAGTCAAAGGCAGTAGAATCCTCATCACTTATGAGGCAAGAGGCTGTCGGGACCTCTTTGAAAAGGCAAAGGGTTCACTTTGCTTAAAGACAAGAGGTGTCAAAAAGTTGAGAAAAGGAATGAGGAGAAGCTGATTATAGCAGTCTTGGGCACTCTTTCACTTAAGAGTCAGCCTTCAGAAGAAGGATGGTATGACTAACTGCTGATGGAAATGTGGAGGTGCACTAGACTGGGAAAGATTGAGCTAATTAAAAGGTTCAGGAAAAACTGTGGTTGATGCACTTCGGTATAGTGAAGTGGAAGATAGCAAAAGCACAACAGAAGGTAACTGGTGCTGATGGTCTTCTGTAAATGCCTACAGGAAGCTGACAGCACTGTTGATGCTGGATGTGTGCATATCTGTTGCTTAGCAATGGACTAGTGTAGATCGGTTTACATTCTCGATTTCCCTTGTCCTCCCACTTTCCGTTCCCTTTCCCTTCCCCTCCCCCTGGAAAAAAAAAAAAAAAACCATAGCAGGGGATAAAAGACAAAAACATCCATGTTTCTAACAGTTCCCTGTTTTATTGCAATACATCAAAGTAGGTTAATATTAAGTGTGTTACCAACGTAAAATATTGGTGGCAAGTCATTTATTACATTGTTGACTTTCCACCTTAAATATTTCTGTGCAAAAGAATCTACATCATTGTTCTGTAGCAGAGAATCTCTTACAATGTCCTCTACAACATTGAGGGCATAAAACAATCAAATAGTGAGAAGAGGCAAAAAGCAGTCTTTCCCCCACACCGCACGCTTGTCAGCTTTTATACTCTAAAACAAAAAAGTGATTACATCTATGCCATGCAAAACTGTACAATAATATTACAATGAAAAAACCTAAAAAATATATTTTTTAAAAATAAATGATATGAAACTGTCATACATAAAAAGGCAGGTATAATTGCTTTGCAATGCCAACACTGGTTTTATTTATGATTTTTTTTCCCTGTGAATGAGACTGCTTTCTTCTGCAGAATGAAAGAGGGGTTCTTTCTTAAACTGTGAATGGAAAGGAAGAGAAGACAAGCTGTGGAACTGCCTCTCTGCACAGTGAGGTCTAAAGTGAAAGGCCTGTGGGACAGCTGATCTTTGGGGGCCTCTCAAATAGGACTTGAGTACACAGCCCATGGTAGCCTGCCAGGACTAGGCTGCTCGTGTAGCTGGAGCACGATTCGTGTCAGCGCACAGGTCCTGTCCCAGGCTCCTTTGCGAGAGAGAACTCTTGTAGCACAAAGCACAAAGTCTTTGTATCGCTTCAGTTCTCAAGATAAGGCGGAAGAGGTGCAGGGGCTTTGCACAGGGATGAATTTCACCCTTGGTGCTCACCTTGTAGAAGAAAGAGGTCTGAAGAAAAGGTTTCCTACCACTTAGATGCTGCTGGAGTTGCACAAAGCGCTTGTTCTCTACCATTCACCAGCTGGGTCTCTCCCTCCAGTCTGGCCCATCAAAGTTCTTGGACATACAAGACTATGGATGCTCATGGTGCTCCAGTTCCTCAGAAATTCTGACCTTTTTTAAAGTACTATTTTGAAAGGCTGATGCTATTGCTTGAGCAATGTTTTGCTTAAGCCCAAAGCTATTTGTAGCGAACTACATATGCCCTGGCCATCCGTCATCTGTGCTTTCATTTGTTTTGTGTTCAGAGCCCTGCGTGCCTCTGCTGCTGTGTTCCATAAACTACATACCTGAGAGTTCAACACAAATGTGGTCTGTGATTTTTATCAGAATCAAGCTCGTCGGTCTCAAAAACAAGTCAGGAATATTGCTGAAATAATAATGATCCACACTTTTAACAAGCCAGATCCTAAGACAGGCGCGAAGACGGGAAGAAAAGCTGCCTAAGCAAGGCCAGAAATGTGCTTCCAAACTATGAACTACATGGTTCTTACAGCTTGCGTGTGATACAGCCAAAGCTCTATTACCTAGCGCTGCCTTTATGAAATGTGGAAACCAAATGTGATGTGTGGGAGCTTAAATTACTTTACTGCACCTTTTCATTCTGTCACCTGGAAGCTGTGTTCCTCACAGTAGCTGCCTGAATCTATTTGGATTCTCTTTGTGACTAAAGCCATTTGCAAAAGCAAAATAAAAGGGTCCTGATAAATGAAGAATGCTTTCAGTCTTGGCAAAGGAAGAAAAAAAGATATATATACTGTGTACATAGAACATATGCTACAATATTAGTCAAAAGTTTCAATGGGTGATTATAAATTGCCTGGGTAAATGCATTGCAACTGGAAACACTGAACAATGCTACACTGCATAGTTGCAAACAACAAACCTTGTAAGTCAACTGCCTCCAAGAAACCAGACAAGAATTGTACAGTTCAAATGGCCAAGTTACTTTTCCTATCTCATGAGAAATTCAAAAGCACATCTGCAACATGCATATTTTATAACAAGAGCTCACTACCAAAACAGATTTTGCATGGCCCACTGGAGAAATCAGCATCTATTCAAATGGTCCAAGACAACATAAAATTTAGCTTAAGTCCTAGGACATTTTATTTTCCTTTCAAATAACTTATGTGGATATTTGCTTTTCAGCTAAGAAATCCATTGCTCTTTCTCTTTAACAGTACTGTGGCTTGTGTAAAATGTACAGTATGACTAAATAGTCATCTTAAAGGACACTGCTAAAGCCTAGAAAATCCAGACTATGTTTAACAGTGCAGACCTCCTCCAGTTGGGTTTTCTTTATGGAATTCAGCTTTGCAACATAACCAGAGGATGCTACATCTGAAAATGTAAGTCTGTAACAAGAAACAGGATCACAGGCACCACAGCAAGTCCACTGGTTTATGGTTCTTTTAAAAATGTGCTGGGTCTTTGGTTCCATTTTTCAGGAGCGCAGACTGGTTAAAAAGGACTACACGGTCAGATAAGGGGACTACCATGCATTGTTTCTTTCAGGCTAAAAACAGACTGTCAGACTTCTCCCAGAACAAAACCTTTTTTTCCTGGGATCCTGCAGATGTACAAGTCCACTGTCCCACTTTAAGTACCTGTGAAATATCTGTGATAGCACTTGTTCCTGGGACAATCGGGGCTAATTTAATTGCCATTCATTCCATGGACAAGCAGGGTTTGACTAGGATCAGTCAGAACTGCTTCAAGTATGACCAGTTTTTAGCCTAAAAACCTAAAGGTTCAAATGCCTCCTTTAGCATGAGGTTTAATATTTAAATGCACCATAAAATAAATAAAAAACTAGTGTGGAAGGTTTTGAAGAACACGTGGATGTGATGGACTTCACTGGAAAGAGGGAATTGTAAGAAGAGGAGAAGCCTTTGGTACAGCCTTTAAGGAAAAACTGCTAGTGAGCTTCAGCTAATGCCCAGTCCCTGTGCCCTGTCTCTCCCACAATGCCATGAGAAGTTACTAGCTTGGAATGAACTTGAAGTGTTTGGCTGCTTGGTATAGATTTGAATATGCAATGCCAAGCTTGCAGGAATGCTAGCTTCCAGCTGTGACAAGGAAACACACGCCACTAACTTGATATGCTGAAAACCCAAACTGGATAGACAGGATTTGGACGTGATACACAATGGACAAGTCCTGCATTCGCCCCAAAATATCTCTGCAATATGTTATTTCATATGGACAATCCGATCTTTGCAGAATAAAACAGATCTTTTCTAGGAGACCCAGCATGGGTAATGGTGAAGACAATGATCTGCATCCTACTGCTTATATCTGTATTTCACCCAGGCCTGTGGATTATCCCATCCTTGAACTTACCCGTGTTTTCCACTGGGAAGAAAAATCCAGCAAAACCGCCATTTGTTTCAGCATCTCTTACTCTGGGTGAAATACTTTATACTGTGAACTGGAATGGCTTGGAGTGGTTTGACAGAAGCGATAATGGTACTAAAACACGCACAATCAGTTTTCTAAATACAAGAAGCCCTTTGGGGTGGTTGTGGCAGAAAGCTAGCAGTGATCCTTCTGAGAAGAAAATGCACACGCATGTGTTTCCAAACAAAAAGCACATTCATCCTGGTAAATAACAAAAGGAAAGGACTTTCCTCTTTCGTGTCCATTTGCAGGTTATGTTTCCCCCTTTCATTCGGTTCATTTAATGATGGTCATCCGGCTCCTGTTGCTGAAAGGCAGACTGCATCTTCTGTGGGACCTGCCCTCTGGTGGAGTTCTTTCTGCCCTGCAGTCTGCCTTGCGCTAAGAACCAAAACAGCAGGATATTGGATAGAAATGACTAAACGCAATCCAGAATTGGGGGGTGGGGGGAATAATGAACCTCTTCAGCACGGCAGTTCTGGGCTATCAGGTGTCTTCAACTACCACAGCATGAACAGTATTAGGTCAAAGTCTTCAAGGTTCTTCACTATGCTACAGCAACAACATATTCAACAGAGGCTATTTTCAGGCTAACGGCACTCACATTTGGCTGATGTAGATTATATGCTAATATTTGGTAACAAATGTAACAGCTTTATGGTTAATAAATGGCCAAAGAGGCTTGGAAGACCATTCCCTCCCTAATGAAACCAGGTCAGTCGCTGACCCTTTTGAGAAACAGTGTTTCTTACAGTTCCTGCTGCCTTAACCCCATCACTGCCCTGGGATGTATACTGTATCCAGCAACAAGCTGGGAGCCCGTGGGTGATATGCTCCCTCTCAAGTCCTGACACCCTGACAACACTGTGGTTGGGTGCTGCTCTCAGGTGTCGATGGGAAGGGCTCACTTTTATATCCGTGTCGTTCTTCCAAAGGACTGATAGGGCTGTCTCTAAAATGAGGGCTATGGCTTCAGTTCTGTTCCTGACGAGCGGAAAGACTCGTCACTGAGCACACTGGAGGAAAATCTCCGACAGTGCAGTGTTACCCAAAGTTACCCAAAGGGAATGTCTCTCCTCCTGCATAATTTTAGGCCAAGCCTCAAATCTGTGTACTACTTGGTATGAAAACAGGAACACCACATATCTTTTTAAATTAAAGGATCTCTTAAATAGGCATCCATCTTCTGCTGCATACTCGATGCTGCTTCTTCTCTTTGAATATATACATACGTATTTCACTCTTAAATTTGCGTATTTATTTAAACTCTGTACTGTACTAAAATATGCATTGTTTTAATCAATAAGGATTTGCTGGCGACAATCAGGTTGACATTCAAACGTGGTGGCTGGCTGAAAGCTTTTATGTGCCTCTTAGACGTGCTGATTGCTCCCCACCAGAGGCGGGGTCTCTGTGCTACTTTCATACAGAATAATGAGCTAGTGGCTGAAAAACAAAAGCCATTGCCTTTCTCTTCTACGGATAGTGTTCTGGTCTATTTAAATTACCTTTCTGGAAGTGGGATGGGGTAAAGTTACCTTTAATGATGAAAAGCAGCTGTGACCACATGAAATGAAACCAGTGCTAATACAAATCTACTGTATCTGTTATTTACCAACACCCTAGGTTTGCTTGTTCGCTGCTGCTGAATCTGGGGAGGGGGAGATGAGGCAGCACTGAATGGTGCTGGAGAAGGCAAACCTTTTATCTTACTCCCTCCCCACCCCCACGATCCTCTTAGAGGGGGAAAGGGTGATGAAAGTGAACTTGGGACGAGTGAAGGGGAAGCCAGGGGATAAGCCGCTGTGATGTCAGGTCTGAATGCTGAAGTTCATGAGTCCCAACTCACGTGGTCAGAGCTCTCCAAGGAGAGGCTCTTGGTCTTGTGAGGAGAAACCGGGCTGGGAGGGCTGCTCAGGTTGGAACTGTTAGAAGCCGTAGAATGTCGTGGTGAGTCCGAGTCCTGCAACCCCAGAGATGCAGAAGAACATCAATAAGTAACAGCGTAATGGAAGGCAAGTTTGTCTGAGACTAAAGAGGACACACATTTGAACAAGTCAGCAGAGACTAGATGTCTGCATATGTTCCCCCTAGCTTTTATGTCCACTAATATAGATTGAACAGCTATACCAGTGTAATTTGCTCAGCATTTACTTTTCTGTTGTGTTTTAGTGAACTGTTTGAAGCTCGGTTCATGTAAGGCATGAGTGGTGCCAGCTCACGGGGGAAGTGGCTACCAGCTGAAGGGGAGGTGACAGCTGCCCTGTTTCTGGGAGGGAAGAGGGGGTCGGGGATAATCTCAGTTTGTACAGTTTTGTAACCCTAAGCTGCTGCTTAACTCTCAGCTACTTCTGGAGTCTCATGCAGCAGTTGTGACCAGACACAAGCTGGGCGTGGAGGCACAGCATGTCTCCTTCAGTTTAATTTATCCCAGTTCTGTACATCTATGTAAATAATACCAGGATTCAGAGCAGATGGACAACCACCTTATCCTAGAAAAGACTACAGGCCGTTATTAGAGCACATTACCCCTGGGTGGAGAGCTGCAGATAATTGCTCAAGTCAAAACTGATGGGAGGTGTGGACATGCAACACTTCTACCATTGTAGAGTCACTGTAGGACTCAGGGTTTTTTGCCAGGTGACTACAGCAGAGTAGTGACTCACACTAGTGTATGACTTAATTCACACGTCTGCTCTTTATTTCTGCTAATATAAATACTGTGTGTCTGCCTCAACAGTTTTGCACTTCTATTCAATTAGGAAGCCACTTTCCTGATTGAGCTTCATCAAAATCACTTGTCTCTTTGCAACTTCCAGAATGGAGGTTAATTCCAAGCCCTGGCCAGGGGCTACCCTTGACTGTCATTTGATATTTTGGCAGAATAGAGACAACAGTCTGAGAGAAATGGCCAATTTCTGAATTTTTACAATTAGCTACTTGACTAGAGACCCTCCGATATATAATCAGTATCTTTCCTATAAAACATCTGCTTATGGGCTAAGCTTCCTGGCTGCCAAAGGACACAAGGAATAATGTCACTTTTAGCTGGGGTAGGTCAAAATCAACATCATGCCATGCAGTTATTTTACCAACCTAGTGCATTCGTGAGTCTTACTGGTTTGCTATGCTTAGGGGCCCATTTTTTGCCCAACTATTCAAAGCTAACATATTTCGAGGTACTTCATATACCAGGAATTCTCAATGGCTGTAATAGAGAAAACATGATTATGAACGAGAGCTGAGCCTTTGGGGCCAGATTCTGTCCTGTTGCATTCACTTTACTCCAGGCTTCCATAAGCAAACACAAGAGGATTGTTTGACCATGGCTGTATCTAGAGCCCTCAGATTTCTTCCCTCTACTCCTGTTACTCACCTCCCGCTCATAGTCCCTTGTCGGCACATCACTGCCTTGGTCCAAACCACCAGAAGACAATGACCCATCTGATGGCGATGCCATAGGCTGACGCTTTGCGCTGTAGCTCCCTCCTGAGAATTCCCGCCGCAGAGCACTGCCATTCTGTGCTGACGACCCTAAAAGGCGCAAGGAAACAGCGGTTGTAGGGACATATACTAGGCTGGCCAATGGCTGCTTCATGGTCCCCCATTGCTTTCCAGTAAAACCTTCCTCTCTGTATTCCCGGATGCCCTGGATGACACACTTTATGTGATCATGCACTGGACCCTGCAATATCTGGACAGGACCATGGGAGGACAAAGAGTTAAAAAATTAACCCTTCTCTGTCAGCAGCCAGTTGTCCACTGCTGTTACATGTGTTAGCCATACCAGTAGCAAATTGCAACAACAACAAAGGAAAAAAGCAGCACTGGAGCCAATGGTTGATTTGCCCTTGACTCCGAAACCAAGCAGTCATTACGCAGCCGCAGGAGAGACAAACAGTTTAGATTCTGATCCTGGCCATCATAATGTCAATAACAGAGAAACAAGCATGTGAGGTTTTCAGTATCACTTGATATCTGCCCAAGAGCTCCTACCAAGGTCAATGCTCGAACACTCCCACTGACGTCAGTGGGAGCAGTCAAGCCAATACTGAGCACCCAGCATTAGCTTTCCATGTTTCTACATGCAATTTAAGGCAAGACAGACCTGGTAACTTACTTGCTGCCAACCCGCTACTAGCGCTCATTGATCGTCCTGGTTCGGGGCGGGATTTTGTGATAGATGGGATGCTGACAGAGCCACTGAACATGGTCCGACTTTCCTGAGGCCGAAGGTTCTGCAACGCAGGGAAACATGGAGAAAAATGTTTTAATTAATTCATCTACTGCTGATTCAGTGCTGGAGGCAGGCAGGTACCAAATGAAACTAAGAAGTCCAAGTAATGCCCCAGTCTTACCAGAGCTGGATCACCTCAGGGGTAGGTCAGCAAATTTGCAAGATAGTATTCTGCAACTTAGTGCAGAGGCTGGAAGATCACACAGCATGACAGTATGGTGCTGAATTACATGGACAGATGCAGATGACCAAGAAAGACTCCCTGGTAGAACTTCCTTAGTGGGCTGCTCTGGGAGTCTAACATCTGATATCAATTTCAATGACATACTAAAAAGATGCCCAACAAACGTGGCATATTTTTTTGGGGTCTGTTTCTCCAAGCAATATTTTATTAAACTGGGTCTCTTCAATAGCGTCATGTGCGATAGATCTATTTGTTAAGAAGAACAATGTTACTTGTGCCACGTGCCTGTCGTGTGCTTCATGCAGTTAAGCAGAAACACTGGGCCAAACTGCCTACAGCTATACTAAAGAAACCTGATTAGTTTCAGCAGGGTCAGTCTAGATCGACGTGGATGTCGCCAAGAGCAGATTTAGCCTTTTAGTTTCAGATTGCTTGGACAGAAAGGCCTCGTCCGAATACTAGTCACAGGTTTTTTTGCAACTACTTTGATTTGCTGTTATCTCAAATTAGGGCTTGTTCCACTGCTTTGCTTTTCCTGCCACCACACACCTGAAAGTTGTTTTTCTGAACTGGCCATGCATGAGCTGGGCTGAAAATATGCCTTATCAGTTTAAAGGGGCAATCCCTTTTTGCCTACTGGTGAATTTCACCACTCGGCTGCAGGAGTGTCTTAAATTCCTATATGAAAAGCAAGGATTTCTTAGGGTGATCTCTCTTATTTAACCATCTCTGTAGTTGGGATAAAGTTAGACAAGCTTTTGAATGCAAGACATTCTTCATCAGGTCTCTGATCACAGGAAGCCAGGGACAGCATGACTATATATTTATGACTATGCTGTCCCTGGCTTCCTGTGATCAGAAACCTGACGAAGAATGTCTTGCATTCAAAAGCTTGTCTAACTTTATCTCAACTACAGAGTTGTTTGAATAAGGATTTATTAGGATGGTATCTTTTGCCTCTGGCATAAATTCTGGATCATTACAGCTACAACATTATTCTTAGACTACCTCCAATTTCTCTTGCACCTCTGAAGAAAGAGGAATGGTGGTTTGGAGCAACAAACTCTGGGAAATTTGTTTTCAGTGTTGTAATTTTAGAGGGGATCACAGGGAGGGGAAAAACTAAAAAAGACTTCAGCACACTTAGTCCTGCAGTCTTCGTATACAGGACTGCTTCCTGGTCACATTGATAAGGGCTTTCCAACATGCCTGTTTGTCTTTGATCTTTGGTTAAATATAAATGCATTTATCAGGCTCCCTCCTTGCACAAATAAATCATTAGAACTAATGAGAATTGGCTATATAAAACCTCTCCATGCAGGGGAAGAAATACAACTTCTTTGTAAGAAATATATCCAGAGCCCAAAGTGGCTTCACCTAGCCTAAAGCTGAGTCCAAGCTTCAGCTATTTATTTTTTGGATTGTATGTTTGCCTTGCAGCTTATTTCCTTCTACTACTAATGCCCCACATTATTTCAGACTAGCATAATATAGCCAAGTGTACAAAATAATTCACAACTGTAGTTGCCCTCGTAGGCACGGATGTTAATGAAACTTACAACAAGAATAAAAGCCCTCTATGAGGTTGGATCTGCCCTGATCTCTGCTCCCTGTGTGGCTCTGTCTGAGACTATCCAATCAATCAGGGACATATTCTGGATCATAAACAAGCAGGGCAGCCTCAGTCCCAGTGAGTATGTCTGAATGGCATAGCGATGCTTGGGTACCACACAAGCACTAGTCTCTTGCTCTCTGTCTGTCTCTCATATCCTGCTTTGAGTTTTGAAGTTATTTCATTATCTCTGTGCAGTAATATGCTGTACCATTAGACATACACATTTAATCCAAATGCCACATTTACTATGTCATGGTGATGTCTGGGAAAAAAACCCAACTCAGTTATTCCATTACTTCTATGCTAGTTTTGGGTTTTTTTGCACGGAGTTGGCAGAATCAGTAGCTGCTCTTGTTGAATGATATTGTAACCCCCTAACCCTAAACAGGACTAATTAGCATTTGATTGGGGTTTTTTTTTTCCTTTTTACTTCCTCTGAGCTATGTTTAATTGTATTACTAGCACCACAAGAAAAGAGATCTCTTAACAGTACTGAAAGGAACCTTCTCAGATTCATCTTTCAGGGAAGAAACATGAGAAAAATGCCCACGTCATTACTTTGTCTCCAGAAGGAAAGAGGATAGAAAGAGCTGAACACACAGCTAGGGATGCAGCATTTTAATAGTGAATGGGGGGTGTGCGTGTGTGTGAGTTACTGAGGAATCGTTAAATTACCCGTGTGGCTTTCCCCCTTTAGCAATGTGGTAATAACACAGATATAGCAAACCAATGTTTTAAATCCACTGTATAGGGAAATCAGTCTGAACTATTTTGTGTTAGCCTATACCCTTAATAGAAATACAAATTTCCTTCCTGATTTGTTGGTATCCAGGGGCAGTACTTAAGTATACGGTAGATGATAACCTATCTATTACTTATAGAGTATGTATCAGTTTCTCTAGGTAGGTTATATAATAGTATAGCTAAGGAGGGGGTTTATAATGGCTGGAATAGACTTAACAAAGCAGCTAGGGGATGTGTAGTAAGTATTATTATTGTTACTTGTCTGTTGTTACTGCCACTGTTCCTAACCTACATTTATGAACAATTTTCCAACAACAGGGAATACTTCTGCCTCATCTTCCCACATGACATGAACTCCTCATTTTTCATGTGCAACAAGCCACACAAGAGGCTTGATTTTTTTTTTAATTCAGAATCTCTCTCTGCTACCTGCATAAGCAAACCTGAGACTGCAGGGATGGAAAAGCCCTATTTGATTTGCCAATTTATCTCCCTGCTGTTGGATTGTTTCCAGCTGTTTCAGCAAATCTGTAGGGCTGACAAGCACCCTTCAAAATAGTCAAATTAAATATTATCTTGTATTGCCTGTATGCCCTTTTTTCAGAAAAACAGTGAATACACAAACTATATTTTAAATTATCTTATTTACCATAAAAGAATATGTGGAGTCAGTCTGTGTGTCCTGCAACACCCAGGAAGATCTCAGCTTGAGCATGCTGACAGTGGGTGAAGACTGCACAGAACAAGTGATAAGGGGATGACGTACCCGGTGTTTAACTATAGAGCAGATGTGGTGTTTTGAGACACGTTAGGAAAAGCCAAAATACAGCACTTTGATACCATACATTGTGATTAATATATTGGAATCACAAGGAGGCGGCTTCAGTGCCTGTCAGACAAGGAGCGGATGGTTTCTCAAAGAGAAGAATGATGTTCAATAATAACAAGGCAGCAACTCTCCTTACCAGAGGCTGAGCAGCCACAACCGGTGGATGGGTGGGGTGTGCGGGATGGAGCTAGGAAGGTGGCCACTAGTGACCGATACGTGCATTTGAAAGAGATCAGCCATAACAGTGTAAAACTCAAACCCAGTCAGGTTGGCTTGCAGCCTCAGATTTGACTGCTGTTGTTTTTTTTTTAATCTGTTTGCAAAGTCCATGTAATTCCACCTATGTGATTTCCTCCCTACCCCAACAAGCAAAGGTCTCATTGTTCTTTTGTCTAAAAACAAATCCCAGTGACCCTGGCACTTAAATGCAAAAATAGCAACAGAGCAATGTGCACGCAACACAAAGAAGAAACCGGCACCAGGGAGAAAATGGCAGTTAGAAGCAGCAGTTATGAAAAACAAACCAGCAGCAGCAAATTAAAACAATCATTCAGAATTAACTGTGAGCCTTTAAGAAACAAACAATCTGGTTTAGCTCAAGCAATTCAAACCTGTGCATATTTTATCCTTCCCTGCTGCTGGACTAAGATGGGGCGGGTGGGGGGGGGGGAATAATGGATAGAAGAAATACCCTTGCAGAGGAACCTCCCCTCCCCAGCAGAGAAGCTGCTGATGGAGCAGACTATAAGCTTGAGACACAGTGAAAGCCCCAAATTAGCTCTGTGCATCGCAGATTTAGTCGGGGAGTAAAACTGTGGTGGAGCTGCTGTGCTCCACAAATGCAGCAGCTGCTCATCTGTGTAGCAGCAGACCCAGACTCATCCACCCTGCAAACACTGATCTACTCCCAAGTCTCATCACAGTGAGGCCTCCCCCGCTCCGTCTCCTCAGACTCTGCTCCGGGGTCTTCTACATGTCCATGGCACTGGGTGGACTGCAGCTTCCATGGGAATTTGGCTGTTGGGTGGCTTCCCCTGGTTTTTCTAGCTGTCCCCCTATCGGGACTCACTAAACGAGTCTACCCATCACTAAATTAATCTTGGCGTAGTATTTTCCAGTGAAAGATTATTTTGATCATAGGGCAATACGTGCGGTCCTTGTGTGCTAGACTTGCTTTCAACACCCCAGCATTGATTTTGTCCCCTTCAGGTCTCTAGTTCAGGCCCATCCCAGCTCCATCTGAGTCCTAATCCATTCAATTGCCATGAGGAGCCCCTTGGACACAAGAATATTGGTTCCCTGTTGCCCAGACAGTTTCCAGACTCCATGCCGTTTCTTCCCTCAGCCAGAATGTGCTCCTTCATAAAAGCCTCTAGGTGAGCTAACGGGCCTGCAATCACAAGGCTCTGGATTCCCCGATATCCCTCCACATTCACACCCTTGATTGCTATGTAAGTGCACTGGCAGTGGAAGCAGTGCTCTTAAACCAAGGTCCACATTGTTACTATGACTGCATATAGTGAGTACCTACACATGCAGTTCTTCCTGCTTGCTGTCGCCTTACTTACCTGAGAAAGGGTAAGGAAAAGGGACTGGGTCCCACTGTATTTTAAATATAGAAACTTCTGT